TTGTCCTGTCCCTACAGGCCCTTGTAAAAAGCCCCCCCCAGCTTCCTTGTAGCCCCTTCAGGCACTGGAAGGGGCTATAAGGTCTCCCCGGAGCCTTCTCTTCTCCAGACTGAACAAGCCCAACTCTCTCAGCCTGTCCCCATGGCAGAGGGGCTCCAGCCCTCGGAGCATCAGAAGCTCCTCTAAGGGGGGCACATCCAGCCTATGTACAGAATGATTTTAAGCTGTGATGTCAGACTTTTCCTTGTGAAAGGAATTAAATGCTCGTAGTCATTTTTGAAGATGACTTCTAAAATGGATGAAGAAGGCAATTTTGGTTTTTGACGCTGTTGCCTGACATTGTATTAATAACACATAAGTCATTCTGTCAGTGGAGCAACTGACAGGTTATCTGATTTTTCTCATGCTTTGCATTTTTCAGTTTTAGTTAATAAAGTTTACAATATTTTGCAATATGTTTGGGAGGAGAGATTATATATATACACAGAACTGAAGCCTCCCTTAGGAGAGCTACGTCCATGCTTCCAAGGAGGACTTTGGAATATTTTTGCTATGCTCTGCATCTTTTACTTGTGGTATAGCTTCTTATTTATTCTAGAAAACCAATTGAAACAGTAACATGGAATTTTTAGAAAGTGCTCAGGTCTACTGACTCTTAAATCTGCTTTATGCACCATGCACTTCTCACCCTAAAATGAAGCCAGGTAGATTTTTGTTGCTTTTGCTCCCAACAAAGTGATGCAAAGCAAGATTAGCTTCTCTCTCAGAAGGTTTTGAAAGCGATTGAGCTGTGCAATAAAAAAACTTCATCAGCTTCAAGCTAAACGAGTGAGCACGTGGACATACAACTGTGTGACGCTCTCTGATCAGTGACACTCCTCCCCGGCTGCGCCTCAGAAACCTGACGACCTCAGACGCATCGTTTCTGCGTTCATTGAAATCAGCAATTAACAACTGCATCCTTGCTGAAAAAGGAGTGGGGAGAGGGTTGTTCTGGAATGAAATTTTTCTTCATTCAAGAGAAAACTGAACTCACAACTAAGTTTTGTAATAGACAGCATAGGCTGCTAGATGTGTAGGAATTCAGCTAAAAGGGAAATACAATAGAGTTTGGAGATACTTTGTTATGTTATTACATACGTTACTCTGCATTAACCAGTTCTTAAAAGGTAAGCCATAGATCAAGATGCCTGTAAGGCCTATTTTCATTTGTGCATTTAATTTTAGTTTGCTCCTACATTTGATAACAGTCCAAATAACATTAAGTAGTTGTTTCTGTACATGACCCTTGCAAGACTGCATTATCAGGCAGGTAATTTTGTGCATGCAGTTGAGAACATACTAAAATATTATAGGAATGCATCTTTTACTAGCAGTTTACCAGCAGTTGTCATCTAATTGCAGGTTAAAGAAATGTATTTTTTTCTATGGAACTAGGATTTAAGGAACCTGCTTGTAGAATCTCTTTTCCAGTTAGTCAACAGGAGAAGATAGTAGCTCACATGCATTTTATTTGACTAAATTTGACTTAAATCTCCACTTATTTAGCCTGGCAAGAAAGATATGAAACTGGGATCTTCTTAGGCCCCCATTATTTCTTCAGGATAACTACAATATTTGGGTTGTTTCCATGTCTTGGGCAACATTTTAACGAATGGATATGTTCCCAGCTGAAGTTAAATGGAATAGAATTCCCAGTAAGAGCCAAAATGTTTCCCAAATGTACAGTCTGGTTTGGATGCTTTTTCACTGAAGCATACAGGCTGGATGGTGGTGTGTTGTGCTCTGAGGTGGAATTTGAAAGATCATCTTCCCTCATGTCTCCTCTTGTCTGGAAGCCAAGAAACCTGAACAAATGGTGCTTCTTAGCTTGTGAGCCTTGTTTTGGTGTACCATCAGCTTTGTGATTTTTTTTTTCCATTACTCAGTGCTCCAGTAACACGAAAAACTCTTTTAACAACCACGGCGTGATGAATGGGTTTGAGAAAATGCAGATAATTGTAAGGTTAAAGACATAACGAAAATTTTGCCAGTGCTAGGTTCAGAATAACTATTTTCCAGGTAAAATACAGAAAGCATAGCAGCTTCCAGTAGACGTGGACAGGGAGTGTCGAAGTTGTTGGTCACAGCTTTACTGGTCACCATGCTGGATGGACACTTACACTTGTAAATGCAACAGAGCTAGGCCACAAAACTGCTGCAAATCCCACAAAGCACCATGAAACTTGGTTTGTGATTTTGAAAGTGTTCAGTCGGGGATAGGTCGAAAGATTTATAATTTGTCTGAAATCTGTGTCTTGTTGGCACGTGAGAGAACATAGCAGCTTCTGACATGATTCTTAGTTGCTGAAACTAGTTTTCTGTATCCTTAGATTTTCTATGTATATCACAGTTATTTTTAGAAGTGAGTTTAACCATAACATCAAAACCAAAGCAGTGTTGATGGGGTTTCTGATGTTGAGGTTTGGCAAGGCTGGTTTACAGTTGCTGTCTTGGTGTCAAATCGTGGTTTTACCCTGTGGGTCTGGCATTTGCTGTCTGTGGTATATCTTTTTTCAATTAGCAGCTTTGTGTTTTAACATACCATATTTCAGCTTTAAGTGAATATTAGCTCTGCGTGTACATACATAACTCTGCAGTTTTATCTGTGGCATTCTCTTAAGATGATAGCTCCTGTAACTTTAAGCCCTTTGCATTTCTGTGTCTGTAAACCGTGGGGCTTGTTCCTGAAGTTCCAGTCCTGCAAGTCTCTCTGCAGGTGAACCTTGCCCAGTTTGGGGAGGCTGGCGATGACTTCAGCGGGGCTTGCACTCAGTGCAAAGATTTGTTCACGGAAGAAATTGTAGGGTGCATTTTAAAATTTCTTGGAGTAAGTCTTCATGAGTATGTGTCTGTGTATGCAGTGCAGCAAGAAGAGTCCCAACACTGCTGAAATATTTTTTAGCTTTAGCATGATTGCCTTTGTTTACTTATTTCCCGTTGCTTTCAGTGGCAGTTATGTTGGAAAGGGTGAATATTTACAGCTGAATGCTGCAGCGCTTTTTGCGTTTTATGCTTATCTTTACCTAGCCACGTAAGCTGGCTGGGGGCAGAGCTGTGCTGCATGGGTTTCCTAATTACTGATGTAATTAGGACTTGATGGCAGAGAGGGTGCCCCAGTGGAGTGTCCTTCCTTCTGCCTGTGTTGTCTAACTGACCCTGCTGTGAAGCAGGAGCAAGATGAAGAAAACTCCAAGGTTTTCAAACACAGCAATGGAAAATTACATTTCTTATAAGAGTCTCATACAGTAGTTTGAAGTGGTTGGACGAAGACTTAATTTAACAGATTTCAACTCAGATTCATTACCTAAGAAATCAGGAGGTCATATTGTGTGTCAAGACGAAAGTCTTGTACGTAAAATGTGCCTTCTTGTAATCAATATATGATTACAAGGCGGGTTATTTGCTCAAGTATTGTTTGGTCCAAATGGTTATTTGCTAATTTTTGAGGCTGCTGAAACCAGTGCAGTGCCTTATCAGGTAAACTCAAGAAGCATAGTATTGCAAATGTCTAACCTGGTTCTGACAGGGGTGTGGAGACCCACTTGCTCTTCGTGCAGATTGATTTCTGGCAGCTGAGCCATCAGTGGTGAATCATTGATTCATGTGAAGAATAAATACACTGCTCAAGGGGTAAAGCAGGTGGTTCTGCCCCATTAAAGAAAGCACTTAATATTTCTTTTCTTCTACCTCTGATGCAGAAAACTGTACTAAATCTTCTTTTCTGGTTGGATCTTCCTATAATCCTTGTTTCCTTAAGCCCTGTTAGGCAAGTTTGTCTTAAAGGAAAGTTCATATTGTGAGCAGTGGCAGTCAGCCTTTATTGAGGACATTTTATTTAAACCATCAGATGTGTTTTGACACTTAGATACAAAAGGCCATAATTTAATTAACATTTCTCTGTTAAGTTTTGAGGTTAGACCCTTTATGTGATGCTAGCATTTCTGAGGAAAGGAAAAAAAGGGCATGTTTTTTCTTCTGAGAAGAAGTCCCAGAAACTGGAACTGAAGAACTTGGAGTGGATTCCTCATGTACTTTTTATCTTCCTTCATGTGTTTTCTCAGTGTTTCCGTCCAGGACCAGCGCAGCCCGTAAGGGTGTCCATTTAAGCCATATGTAGTGGGTTAAATTGGCAGTGTGTGCTGGCAGCCCAGAAAGCCAACCGTATCCTGGGCTGTATCCAGAGCAGCGTGGCCAGCAGGGTGAGGGAGGGGATTCTGCCCCTGTACTCTGCTCTGGTGAGACCCCACCTGGAGTGCTGCGTCCAGCTGTGGAGCCCTCAATATCAGAAGGATATAGACTGGTTGGAGCGAGTCCAGACGAGGCCACGAAGAAGCTCCGAGGGCTGGAGCCCCTCTGCCATGGGGACAGGCTGAGAGAGATGGGCTTGTTCAGCCTGGAGAAGAGAAGGCTCCGGGGAGACCTTATAGCACCTTCCAGTGCCTGCAGGGGCTACAAGGAAGCTGGGGGGGACTTTTACAAGGGCCTGTAGGGACAGGACAAGGGGTAACGGGTTTAAATTGAAAGTGGGTACGTTTAGATTGGCTATCAGGAAGAAGTTCTTCCCGGAGAGGGTGGGGAGGCACTGGGACAGGTTGCCCAGAGAAGCTGTGGATGCCCCATCCCTGGAAGTGTTCAAGGCCAGGCTGGATGAGGCTTGGAGCAACCTGGTCTAGTGGAAGGTGTCCCTGCCCATGGCAGGGGGGTTGGAACTGGATGGTCTTTAAGGTCCCTACCAACCCAAACCATTCCATGATTCTGTGATTCTATAATGCAGATACCTTTCTGCTAGGAAGTTCCACAGGGCTGTCGTTCCTCATGTATTAAGGAACAGCATTCAAGTGGTGATTATATGGCCAACTACCAAAATGCAGATGACTTAAGTGCATAAGAAATGTCTTCTGTTGTACTATTTCTTTGGACTTAAATTTTAATTTCTTCCCCCTCTGTTTCCTTTTTAGCCTGTTCGATATGGGAGGAGAGTACTACTGCTATGGCTCCGACATCACCTGCACCTTCCCTGCGAACGGAAAGTTCACTCCTGACCAGAGGGCTATCTATGAAGCAGTGCTGAAGTCATCGCGGGCTGTAATGAAAGCAGTCAAGCCAGGTAAAGGATCGGTAGATGTCAGCAGGGATTGAGGAGCTTGATGGCAGCATTCAGGCTGTCAAGACAATTATGTTTGGATTTTAGAAAGGGCTGGAAGGGAAGAAGATGACAAAACTAATTTCCGTGTTCAAACAGCTCCTAATGGAGGATGGAGGGTAGGGCACGCAACATTTTCCATGTAACACTTCTAAAGAGATAACACATAAACAATTATTAATAAGATGCAAAAGGTATTTTAATCATCCGCTTTCTTTCTTTAATTCCTTTGATCTAGCAGTGACGGTTGTTACTCTGGTGTGTGTTTGATGCTGGCAGCCATCTTTTCAGGAAGGTTACACCAAAGGCTGAAGTCAGAGTTTGAGTGACACGTGTGATGTGCTTCAGTTCGGTTCAAGCATATTCCGTATTTTACTTGTAAGCTCAATAGAGATCTTTTGCTGAAAAAGAGGAAGGAACATGCATCTTTGGGAAGGATACTCAGCCTTAAAAGGCCTTGGAAAGTGCTGGCTATTGGGTACTTTACTGTATACCTTTAAATTTCAAGCGAACTAATTCATCAAGTATATGTTTTCATAGTTGAAACACCTTTCTGGCTTGATAGAAATTCTGGTTTTCTCCAATTCTGCTTTCAGGGCAGCAAATAAATGCTTTTAGAATTAACTGCTGCTGTGATTTTACTTTCACTGGTGAAGGTACTTGTGCATTTCTCAGTATTACTAATAGAACACCTTTGTGAAAAATGTACTTAGTGCACAAAGCACACTTATCCTTTAAATTTACCATATCAGCTTTCAGTCATCAGGCCATGAGTGCTTGGGCTTTCTGGTTTGCCAGTCAGAACATACGTAATTTTCCTGTTACGCAGGCTAGCAGCGGCGCTGTTCATTTGAGCAGCTTGAAAGGGAGCAGTAACACTTGAAGCTTATCTGCAAAATGAGACTAGATATCATGCCATTTTAATAACTGTGCATACTCCATCATCTGCCCTTTCGCCCCCGAAGAATCTTGTTCCTCTTCATAATTTGCTTTACATTTCAGTGCCGCCCTTAATTGTTTCGTGTAACATTTTTGGCAGTATTTCGTTCCAATAAGTTGTGAACTTTCTTCAGAACTTGAGAGCTACTACGGTGCTGAACTCAGGGTGGTGTAGAGAATTCTTCTGTTTACTGCCACTTTATTTAGAGTGTCAGAAAATAAGGACACGCTAAGTTAAGTATTCCTGAAAATGCATTGCAAGGATCCTTTACTAGCCTTGGGAGGTTGAGATTCATATGAAGCAAAAAAATTAACAATATTTTTATATTTTCTTCCTATAAGCACCCAGAAATACACTAAGGGCTAAAGACTTTTTACTACTGAAGTTGGTATGACTTCAAATAAGTAGTTGGCAGACAAGTATTGACAATGTCTGAAATGAATTTACAGTGTTCTAAAGACATTTCAAACTTAAATGGTGAGTTGGAAAAGAGAGAAATCCTTTCTAACGTACAAATTTAATTTAAAAAAATGATATTAGATAATATTTACTTGGCTATTATTTAATATTATTATTCAAATAATGATTTAATTTATCACGCCCCTTTTCTTACAGAAGATAAGGAGATAAGACATTTCTGTAAAAGACTCTCATAAATCCTTTGAAAGAAATGGATCTGCTTTGTGCCTTCCACCAAATTGCTTTACAGTGGTGTGGCTAGCTGCTTTGGTTGACCACTGAGACAGGCAGAAAAGCTGCTGTGTCAGGTACTGTCGGGCTGCTGGTTGGAAGTGGCAGTGGGTCTCCTGGCAGCTGATGTTCCGCTGTGGAAAAAAAAGAGCTAGGCACACTGACCTTTGTGGCATGGCAAAGGGGCACAGGGGACACCTAGTTGTTGTCTCTCGAAGGTTAATGATTCCTGCAGTCTTTCTCATCGCAAGATAGGGAGCAAGTACTTCAGGGAGAGTCACTAACTAAATACAGGGTTACATAACTGTGTTTATGGAAGGACACACATTTGCTAGCAGCCTTAAACATTTTACACAGATGTGTGTAGTTCATAGATTTGCATTTCTTCTTTCAATGTGGCTCTCATACGAACCTAATTGACTCCTGAGTGAAGTTACTTTCTGGGAGATAATACACCTCCTAATACATTTTGTTTAAACTTCTCCGTACAAACAGTTGTCATAATTTTAAAAACACTCCAAAACATTGTGCTTTATTGTAGGAAAGCATTCATCTGACTACATCCTGCAAGTGGTCCAAACATGCAAACAGCTCAAATCACATACGGGTCTCCCTACCTTCCAACTGGAAGAACAGAATTCCTTCTGAGAGCCAAATAATGTATTCTGAATGTTAAGAAACACTCTCAGTGGGATTATAGCCCAAGTTCAGTGCAGTCGTCACAACTCCTGCCACAAACCAAATCTGTTTAAAATAAAAGGGGAGAAAGACATATTCAGTCTTGCATAAGCAGCAGTTTTGAAACTACTGAACAGGGATCACGTATGAAGACAGCGATGCTTGTCGCTGAAGCAAAAGAGTCAAAAAGGCGTGCTTGTGTGGCAGTGGGATAATTGTCTCTTTCCTACAAAGTCAGGCTCATGATCCAAAATGTCAGAGAGGAATGTTGTATTTCTGCTTAGGGGATATTCTTAATGTGTCAAGTCCATCTGGGTTAAATTTACTCTTACACAGGGGCGGATGTGCAGAATATTGACACTTCCATTCACTTCAGTGGCTGAGGCATCATCTGCTTCATACTCAGCACAGTGGTTTGAAAAACAAATTGTATTTACATAGATACTCTATATGAAAAGAATTATTAAAAAATAGTGAAATTTTAAAGTCAGATATCCCAATCTTGGAGTATTCCAGAAGTTAGTGTCCTAATTTGTCTCACTTGTGCATTGTTTTTTAATCTCGTTAGATTTTCTGCATTGGTTGAGGCACATTAGGTGCCCTTTTGGAGCACATTTCTCCAGTTTTTCTTCATCTGAAATGAGGGTGATCAGGACTGAAATCCTCTAGTAGATACCTACATTCTTTCTCCCTCTGCTGTCTTCATGCCATGCACATAACAGATAGAGCTGAGCTAATGAGCAGCTATTCAGTAATTTACTTTAACCTTTTGTTCCATGCATAGCCCAGAGCTGTTTATTGCCTACTGTTCAAAGCCTGCTCTGAATGCAGAATTATTATCATTCTCACCAGTTTTTCTCAGAGTGCTCATCATCAGAGTACACAGGTGCTTGGCAGGCAGTATGCTCGCTTGCACTTCATCGCAGGGGTGTGGGAGTGTACAGCAGTTCCCCTTCTGCAGGCAGGGAGAAGCTAGTGTAAAAGCTGTTGACTCTTTTGGGATTCCAAGATTGAAATTCATCAGACTCTTTGTTTTTTATGGGAGTTGAACATTGCTCTTGCTCAAACCCCAGCAGTTTTGACCTCTGGTACAGCTGTGAGTGCCCAGCCTTTCTGCAAACCAGACTTGACCAGATTGTCAAGCCAGACACTGATAAAATGAAGGAAAACTATTAATAAACATATCTAAAATAAAGAAAAATTAAAAATCGTGTTTGAAGCAAGTTGACTAGTGTCCTGCTGGGAATCTGAGCCAGAGGCAAGAATGGTTGCCTGTTCGCCATGGCAGATTTCAGGTGTGTTTGTCATGCCTGTTTTTTCTGGGAAGTCTCTTGTTTTTTCTTTTCTTTTCCCTGCATATTTTCAGCTTTTGCAGCAAATGGAAGAGGAGTTATATGAGGAACAGGTACCTTCAGTCGAGCAGGAGATGTGCTAGCCTTGGAGTTAGTCTTTTGGATATAAGGTAGACCTAGAACTATACGCACTTGGGGCTTCCTGGGGATTTGCATCTCGTGGTTGGTAGGAAGCTTTGGTTGGTCTGATGGAAGCTTATCCTCTGGGCTGAGGTGCTTGGGAGGCTTTCTTCCATGTGAATTCTCCTGGCTGTAGTAATGTATGAATGGACGTTACAGTTTTGCTTGCATCAGCGTTTCTGTCTTTTAGGCAGCTGCATACATTACAAAACCTAGTGCTGGGTCTATTCCTCTGGTGTGTGTCACTGAGAATCTCCAAAATGTTTTAATGGTTTTATTGGAGAACTGAAAAAGGCAGCATCTTCAAAAAGTCCATGCTACTACTGCAATCCCATCTGAAGGAGTAGAAGGTCCTGTAACTAAAGGACTGAACCGTAACACGTCAGCGCTGAGGGTCCAAGCAAAGCTCGCAGACAGCATCGGTTGATATTGCCTAACTCTGGAGTCCTTGATGCTGTAGCCATAAAAATACTGCTTTTAGTGTAGCTCTCCCCCACCCCTGTAATTACCCAGGCTTAAAAAAGCAAACTGTGGTGAAAAAAAAAGGTATTATGCAGCACAGCATCAGTAGGCGTAAGGCTGTACAGTGTAATGGTTAATGGCAGAGTGTGGGGTCCCAACTCTCCCGTCCGTAGTATCTCCAGTGGACAGCTGGCATGGTAGCAGCTCAAAGCCTGAAACGCAGGGGTAGATTAGACCCATCTGTGAGCAAGTCTGACATGTCTGTTGATAGTGGGGAGATCTGAAGAATCTGAAAAGTGCATGTGTACATTGTTCCCAAATCCTCTCTCGCTCCATTCTTTGTCCCAGTGGCATAAGTTAGATCCAGTGTCAGTGTAATAGCTTTATTTACCATCATTTGTCATAAGTTACGTCTGGGAGACCAGTATTGTTTGTTCTTTGTCATTAATGTAAATCTATATGAAGAAATGTGTAAAATAATTGGTTTTGCTGAAAGTCCCTCACTGAAACTTCTTGAAAACAACTTGTTGAAGGAACATGATCTGCTTTTGAAGTCAGCCCAGCTCTGTGCCAGGGTTTGGACTAGATACCCTCCTGGCATCCCTTCTAACCTAAATCACTCCATGACTCTCAGTATGTTCTGAAACATGCAAATGAAAATGTCACTGATGTAAGAAAAGGTGAGAATTAATGCCTGTGTGCTCAACTCTAGCTCTTAGTAG